ATTAGATGTATAGGTGTAAGTATAGGCAGGCTAGTGACTTGTGGTGGATGTAGGTCCAAGTGTGTGGGTGTGTGGCCGCAGGGGACACATTCTGGTGTGCAGGGACGGTGGTCGGTAGTCTGTGTGTGCGTAAGTATAGGTGGGGTAAAGGTTTGTCGGTGTTTGCATGTTATAGTGTGTAGGCATAACTGTGGGTAATATGTGGTGTGTGTATGTATATGTACTTGGGTATGGGAGGTCTCTTGGCTGGTGTTTACAGATTCTGGTGTGCTGGTGTGGTAACTAGTGGCTCGCAGTGTGTGTGTGTGTAGAAGTGTGTGTAAGGCCTTTGGCCGATGCTTGCAGATATGGATGTGTCGGTGTGATGAATTGTGGGAGTTTGTATTTATGGTCACTTGGTGGTCGACGGGCACTCACTTGGTCAGGTGTGTGTGAGGTCATTGGCCGATGTTGGTGGTGTTTGGTGGGGCCATTCAGTGGTCATTACTGCAGGGATAACGGTGTGTATCCGATGTTAGAGTGCGATGGTGCAACAAGGGTGTGCATGTGTGGTCCTGGTGGGCCGGTATTAGAATGTGGATGCGTGAGAGACTAGTGGGGTAGATTGAGAGGGTGTATGGATGAGGCCTAAGAACTACCAAAATTATATTGAGTGGTAAGGTACTATGGTCAAAGAGGGTAGAGTGCATTCCCGTTATGTGGTTGGAGAACAAGGGGGTTAACGGTAAGGGGTTAAGTGGGGTTAGGAGGGAGTTGGGTTGTCATTTATTGGCTATCAAAGGAGGAAAAACAGAATGATAGAAGTAGGGAGGGAGGTTATTTAATTGTCATTCCTTAATTTTTAGTTCCAAATTTCATCTAATTGGGTTATGTATACTCATTGCTTTCATTTTTAAATACTTTGAGGTGAGAAACAAAATCAGAGTGCTTAGCAACGGAGCACCGGACTTAAAAGAAACATCATGTTATCAATTACAATGAGACATAATAGTATACCCACTGTATTAAAATAGCATTGAAACTTCTGTGTATGGTGATTGTTGTAGAGTTTCTTTGATTGTACAGTTGTATCTTTGTAATGAGAATTGATTTTCTTTTGAATTAATGGATATGAGATTTGGTTGGAGATTCTAAATACCTTATCTTAGGTAGGAGGATGAATAGTGTATAATCATATATAGTAGAATAGTACAGGGGTGTCACAGAATATCCAATGTAAATCAAAGTATGCCCATCATTCTATTAACCA